CATTTTCAAAGGGTGTGTCAGATTTTGAAGCTCAACCTACTCCTGCATCCAGCCTCTCTGAAAATGTTTTCAGTCACCTGGCTGGCACTTTGGGCAACATCCAAATATAGCAACGTATTCATAGGGCTTGCACAGAATCAGGTTTCCACGTGCAACCCAAAACAGCTGRATGCTCCCAGAGGTACCATTTCGACTTGACCAAGAATAAATAAAATCATTTTAGTTCAGGCTTTCCTAGCAAAATTCACTGATGCCTTAAGAGTATTGCCTAAAAAATCCTGGTTGCTGACCTTTTTTATCCTCCAAGCCTCTAGATGAGTAGCCAAAACATATTTATATATACTTTTATAAATAAAATAATCTTATTTATAAATAAAATAATTCTTTCAACATATAGCTAATGAATCCAAAATACTCTAAGCATGGAGAAAACTACTGAAATCAGATTAACTTTGTGCTGGCAAACCTGCATGAGCTGGACCTAAACTAAACTTCATACTTTTCATAAGCAAGGTGTACACTTTTCTCAACATGTCTCTGCCAGGTTAGGGTGGAAGGAGGTTAAAAAACATGACTGACACAACTGCAGGCAAATGCCCCTAGCATAGATATGGAATTTTGACAAATCTGAGCATTATCCAGCATACCTTATTTTTCTTGGAGGCAGAAAGAAATGGCTGGAATCAGATATACTGGCAACAAATCATAGTCTAGCAGGCAAGGAAGATGTTAATACTAGCACTCCTTTGCTGGTCGACTTCATTGATACAGTTATATTGGCAAAGTATTGCCAGCAGAGACCTCAACTAGATACAGACGTGGTGAAATAGATGGGGCAGGGTGATATGAAGGAAAGGAAAGGCAGAGGTAAAGCGGGGAGATCATTTTTTCTTTCATCGTGGTGGAAATATTCCATAGGGACGATTTAAGCAACAGCATGTTAGGGCTCTGACAAACATCTTCTGGCAAATCTAGTGCTGTTACTGAAGATGCTACTATGCCTAGCTGTCCACCCCCATGTTCTGCCCAAAATTCCTTGGTGGAACGCGCGCTGTGCGTCAGCCACCCAAACGCACCGCCTGCCCCATCCCTGGAAACCCTCTTGCGTCGGAGATGGATGCCGGTGCGTTGCAGGACGTGTAGGAAGAGCTGAGGCAGAGCCGCGCCAGCCTATAGCAACGGTGAGCTGTACACAGGGGTGGGATGGACTAATGGGGTTAGGCCATTTAGCTTAATTACATGCCAGTGTAATTACACTGGAAGGACTGGGAACTTTTTCCAGATGGGATATAGTTGTGGAAAACATTTTGGAGTTCAGAGAAAATTGTGAGTGAGGAAGATCAYGGAGGCAAACTAGGGCTGTTCGTTCTAGTGTCAGTCAAGAAACAGTGGCAATTTCTTTCTCTGAAGTTTATGGGCCCCATTTCTTCTGTTCTGCACCAAAGATACGCATTGAAAAACAAAAGTCATAACTAATTATAGAAAAAAATCCTTGCTATGAATCAYCCACTGCTAAAAAAATAAATTATAATGCTACTCCTTATATAAATGCTAGTAATAGGAAGTGTAAGCGTCAACCTAGAATTTTAGCCTGTGCTTTTGTCACACACATTGTTGGCTAATTTGATTTTGCTGCTATAGTCAGGATATCCAAATGTTTATTATTTATCACACAATGATGAGTAATGTGAAAATATAATTTAAATTAATTCATATTCGTTTTCACATGTCAATTCTAATAATGTTCTCTCAAGGCCAAGAAGCACGTATCTTAAACTTCTAGAAAAATCTTTCCAAAGTGGCAAGAAGTTCCCAGACAAACGGCTCCTCTCGGTGTTTATGGGCCTGGATTGCTCGACTGGGAAGAAGTTTCTCACATAACTGCTTCCCCTTATGCCTTCAGCAGTCTAAATACAAGTGACAGACACAGAGTATCAGCTACTCCCCACTTCTCACAGCATTTTTTTTTCCCTCAAGGAGGTCAGGTATGCAGCAGTGACACATAACCTAAATTTACTGTCCTTCACCTGGAGAAAAAAAAAAAAAAAAAAAAGGCATTTTTCACATGCAGAATTTGAAGGAGGTTTCCAGGACAACAAATACTGTAAATACACTGTTTTTCTGGGAGGAATCATCCGGGTACGGAAAGGTCCTGAGCACTTTGCTCAGGGTTTTGCGGGGAATGCGTGGCTGAAGCAGCCCCTTCCCTGCTCCTGAGGAGAAGCCAGTGCCTCCCATCTCCAGCCAGGGCTTCGCCACCCACCGCCTCGTGTGCTTTATTATCGTTATTTTTTTTTTTTCTTTAAGCAGGTAACAACTACCTTATATGTAAATGTTAGCACTTCTCTGCCAGAGGGAGAGCACTTTCTTAATGAATAAACAAACAGATAAATGGCAGCTACTTTTACGGCGGGCGCTTACAGCGAGGTGTTCCCCCCGCTCCCGGTTGCAGACGTTGTTTCCTAAGCCGGGGATTTGCGCGGCCTGCGCGCGAAGCCACCGCCGCCACCCCGGAGCGCGGGGATCCCCGAGCCGCCGCATCACATGCTTATTTATTCATTTCTCCTTATTTTTCTCCCTTTTTTATTTTTTTTTTCTCAAATTTCCTCCCCCCGCCCCTCGTTTTCCTACTGCTGCCACTGCTTCCCGGCACCGCGGTGCGTTCCGTGTCGCATGAGCAGCGATTTCCCCCGCGGGGTCCCCCCGCTTCCCGGCGCGCCGGGGCGCCCCTGTCCCCCCGCTTCCCGCCCCCCTGCCGCGTGTCGCCCCGCTGCTCCCGTTTCGCGAGGAGGGGCAGCCCCATGGCGCAAGGCGCCTCCTGGTAAGCAAGCGCCAGGGCTCTCCCCACCGCCGGCGAGGAAGCAGGCAGGGGAGGACACGGACACCTCAGGCACGAGGAACGGACCCAAAAAGTCGCCGTAACAGCTTTTTTTTAATTATTATTTTTTCTTTCCCTCCAGATAAATAAATAAATAAGGTATCGAGCGCTGCAGGCCCCCCCTCCTCTCCACGGCTCATTACTTAATTGCCTCGATGCGCCGTAATCCCCCGGTGCGGCGGGGTTCGCTTCCGAGGGAGACGCGAGCGCTGCCCTTCCTCACGGCTAACGCCAAACGCCGCGATAAATTAAATTTATTCAGTTAAAGGCGCGCAGGGCTCCCGCCGCTCCGCCCCTCCGCGGCGGCGGCTCCTCGCCACGCGCGGGCGCGGGGCGCGAGCGGCGGCGGGCCCGGCCCCCGCCATGCCGGGGGGCGGCTCGCGAAATGGCGGGCGCGGGGGCGCGGCGGAGGGGCAGCCCACGCGGGCTGCGGGAGGGGAGCAGGGGGGCGGCCACRCGCACGCAGGGCGGCCACGCAAGCGGCGCTGCGTGGGCGCGCGCTGACACACGCCGCGGCGTGGGAGGGCGCCCCGTGCCGGCGCGCGGGGGGGAAACGGGCGCGGGGGCGGCAAGATGGATGGCGGCTCCGGCCATCTCGGCGACCCGGCGCCTTTTGTGCGGCGGGGACAAAGGCGCCGTCGTGCCGCGCGTGAGCCGCGTCGTGACTCGCCGCGCCGCGGCCGCCCCGCTCCTCCCGCCGGCGGGAGGGCACCTCTGTGCGTTACACAACGAGGACCCCCCTCCGCGCCACCGCCGCCATCTCCAGCGCCACGGCCCCCGCTTTCCGCCTCCCGTTTTACCACCCGCCTCTCCCTCCTGGAAATAGCCCCGGACGTGCACGTCCCCCGGCCGCGGGGCTGTGCGGTGCGCTGCGGGGCTGCGCGCACTCTGCGCGGCTCTACTGCTGCCGCCGGTCTGGCCGTGTTTTGGGCGCGCTGCGGGTGCGCGGCCGCGGAGCGAGGCAGGGCGCGGAGAGGAGCGGGGCGGGGGGCGGCGCGGGGAGGGGGCCAGGCCCGCGGCTGGGGGTGGGAAACGCCGCCGCCGGGCGGAGGGAGGCGAGGCCTAGCGCGCCCAGCCGCCCAATGGCCGC